ATACAAAGTTCAGAGAGGATAAGAATTATTATAAATGATTTCTTCATGGATTTATCGTTTTAGAAAATAATTTAAGATATTAATTTTTGCACCGACTGACTGATGTAGTAAATACTGTTAACTATGAATTATATACTGTACTAGTAATGGAAATTATATAGTATTTTTATAGTTTTATAAACGTTATTAATTTCTATGTAGAATAACTTTCAGATCTTTTTTACTTGTAAATAAAGTAGACAAATTATTCATTAATAAAAGAAAAAGTATTTAATTACATTTAAGAAATTATGCTATATTTAAAATATTTAGCATTTTTATGTGTGTACATTTAAATGTAGTATATTTAGGATGATGGTGATCAATACTACAGTCTATTGTAAGAAAAAGTTTTTAAAATATTAAGTTAGAATTATTTAGCATCTGTTGTAAGTTCATTTTTTTTGTGTAGCAATATGAATCTGGAGACATGAAGTTTATAAATTACAGTGAACACTTAGCAGAAATTAATCTAATTTTTGTTTATAAATATTCCTTTTAGTTGTGAAATTTATAACTGTTTAAAAGTATTAGTATTTTTCTCTTAATAAATTTATATTTTTAAACTATTATTTATATAATACAACTGATATTTAGTTTTTGATATAACACTACTATATAGAAAATAAACATTATTTTGTGACTTATTTATTTCATTTTTCTAATTTCTTTTGAAAACATCATGTTTTAAGGTCAGTAGAGCAAAAGGAACAGTTCGAAGAACAACTGATACAGAAAAATTAGATTAGAATAATATAAACAATAATACAAAAGAACTAGATATTCAGTAGGTGGAGATAACAAATAAATCATTAAGGATTTTAATTGCTTGAAAAATTAAGGATATAGATATTATTTAAAAGTAGATAAATCATATTTTACATTATTGAACTTCTGTAAATAGCAGAAAAAGTATAAATGAAAAAGAAATAAAAAGGAAAAGCTAGAAAAATATAATCTTCAAAAATAAAAATGATTTATTAAAAAATAAAATTTGCTTGAAATTCTTGATTTTAAAATAATCAGACTTTGATGTTATAAATTTAAATTAAGAATTACATTATTTTTGTATTTACCAGCGTAATCATTGGATTAAAACATGGAGTTATGTTAGCTCTCTAATTTGTCTGAATAATTAATATGTTTTCCTAAGTTTTATTTCACATGTTCATCAACAGTGGTGCCACTGTTGATGAACATGTGAAATTAAACTTGGTCAATTATACAGTGCTGTACACGTAAAAAAGTTTTTTTTTAAAAAATTGAAAAGCGTTGGTGGAAGGACACAGATAAATACAAGGTCTGGAAAGTTAGGGAATAACAAGATTTTTAGCAGAAAAAATCAGAGAATCCGCATATATCGCAAAACCGCCTGTCGCTCTTGTTCCTTTTTGATCCGAACACTTCTTTAAATTCGGTTCGGTATTGGGAAGTCTACGAAAACCGGAGCGACCAAACAAATGGCAAGATTTGTCGAACTTATATTCCATAAACTATAAACGATATTCTCACGATTTAAATTTTGTTGGACAGAAGGTTTACATTCGTATTTAAAATGGTGGTTAGTGGAGATGTGCAGCCGTGTGAGGATTGGCTCGAACATCGAAAATGGCGACGCGGTGCGGCGTTTGGACTGCGGAACTTTGGATGGCGAAGAGATAGGACGTCGAAATTGGTGTCGATATGTACAGAACGACAGGATCTACAATATTATTTAACAATAATAACCGATAAAAAAATTTGTAAAGTTACAAGCCGATAGTTGTGCGAGTCGAAGAAATTGCAAAGGAAATACGAACAGAAATGTAAGAAACGTATATCATTGGACAGAAAAATTTTAAAGGAATCGGAAAAATCCAAAATGACAAATGATGCAGATTGTATAGAGAGCGTAAGAAAACCCAGCGCGTCAACTCCAACGGGAATACTTCGAGTTCACCGCCGCATGAAGCGATAGATATTGACTTAGAATGTGATAACCAGAAAGACTTTATTCGTTTACATCTTATCCTTCCTTATAAAAATGCAAAGACCGATTCACGCCTTAAATTATTGCGATTGTGTCCCGCACACAACCCTCCCAATTTTTTTGACCTGCACATCTGGTTAAAGTCGGGTTTTCAAAAAGCATCGACGACCCCGCTTTCCTGCCAAAACACCGCCGCTCCCATTATAAGTTTTGGGGAAGGATGGGAAGATATGTAATGACCTTGAATGGGTCCGTGCTGGTCAGAAAATAGCCCGCGATAATAAACTACTTTATTTCTCCCTCTCGCGGTGTGAGCGATTTCTTCTGTTTAAATTACTGTATTTTGAATTTACCGCCTCCTCGCTTTAAGAAAATTCGATTTTACGACGCGACGCGAATTTTTTTCTTACGAATTAATTTAAATTAAATTATGAAATTATATGCATGACGTAGCTAATTGCGTAATCGATTTTACGCGAAGTTTTTCGTTTTTTGTAAGTGAAAAAAGTGTTTTAATAATAAAATAATTCATATAATTGTGTACAAAATGGGTTTAAATACATTTGGACGAATATTATATAATGGAAAGAGGAAATGCATTTGATTTTCCTCCTTAAAGGTGATTTAGTTCACCATTACTTCTTAGTTTCTGACCTTCCTTGCATTCACAAAACATATGAAATTTAGTTAATATTTCTTTGCATCTTGGACAGTATGTTTTCAAGAATCATAAATTTTATTATTTATCATAATCATCATTTTATTTAATCTTAGTTGGATATAGAATTTCTTGATTACAAACGGTATATTCGATAACATGTAGTTATTATTAAAAGGATAATTCAGAATAATGCTGTACCACTCTAGTTCTTTTTGGTTGTACATTTCTCCAATGTCTTGAGATAGAGCAGTTTCCACTGTATTTTGAATTAGTTGAGTTTTAATCTGGTTGCTAATTTTTGATTTTACCAGCAGTGGAGTTATATTTAATAGAAACTTCAGAGTCGTTGACAATATTTGTAATTTGGTTCACCCAAGAACTTTTTTGTGGATTTTAACAAGATTTTTGATATTTAAAGAACAACAATTTAGAAGGTAAATTTCCATTATCTCTAATCTTGAAAAGAAAATTGATGAACCTTTTTACAAAGATGGGAGTTAATTTGAATCTCCTAAGTTCTAATCCATTCTAGAGTACAAATTTTGCGGATAAATTTATTTTGAATTATGTCAAATTTTTTGTAACTTGTAAGGCTCCAAATTGGAGAGGCATAGCCTATGGCATTGATGATTATCAAATTAAACAGTTTAAAGTGAATAAATATATTCTTAAGTTTAATTTGGGAAAACAACTTCACCATATTATTGATCAATAGGTTAGATTTGGAAATTTTTTTATATTGTTTTTCAAAAGTTAGTGTAGGAGTCAGAACTATTCCCAAAAACTTGACTTCTTGTACTATCTTAAGCTGTATGTTGTTCAGATAAAAGGATGTACTTTTTTAACAACTCTAGAACCATTCCAAAAAATCATTATTGAGGATTTGCTTGGATTAATTTTTAATTTATCGAAATATTCACGAGCTTTTTTAATTTTTTTATGAAGAGCTGCAGCCATGGGGGCAACTAACACATCATCATCAGCATATGATATAGAGTGAATTATTTAGCCATCAATAGAAAATCCATCGTCTTCACAGTCGAAACATTCATTTATATCAAACAAAAAAGTTAAAAAGATAAGGGAACCAAAAGTCTCCTTGTAATAACCCTCTGTCTACTTGGAGGGATGGCCACTCCCTGTTAAAGTGCTTAATTTTCACATTATAATGACTGAATAATTCTCCAGTTATCCTTATTATGTTATCATTCGCATCATATTTAATTACTTTATTTTGTAATGTTGTTATAACCACTGAATTGTACGCTTTTTCTATATCCAAAAATAATGCAAAAACTTTGTGTCTCTTTTTATACAGCTGAGGTTGGACTAGAGCAATTAGTGTAAATAAAGCAATTTGAGTACCTCCATTCTTTGTAAATGCGAACTGTGTATAGTTTAAGTAGTTATTTTGATCAACCCAATCAGTGAACTTTGATATTAACACTGATGTAAATAACTGTCAAAAGCACAACAAGAGGACAATAGCACAATAATTAGCTGGACAATTTCTCTCACCTTTTTTGAATTTCTCTCACCCTTTTTGAATATCATTTGAAAAATAACTGTATTCCAATCTTTAGGAATAGTACCAGAGTTATGAAATTTATTATATTGACTAACTATAAACTTGATGGCATCTGTCGGGAGATTTTTGATTATATAGTTAGGAATAGTGTCAGCATCGGAAGCCAATTTTTCTCTTAACTTTTTAATACTACTGTGTAAATTCTCTACGTTGAATAATTCTACTGATGGTTGATTAAAGATTATATTAAGTTGTAAATTGTTCTCTTTATAATAGTTTTTATAATTGACTGAAAATTCATTGAAATACACTAATTACTGTATGATACATAGCATTTGGTATTCGTAATTGGTGACATTTTTCAAAATATATTTATAATATTCCAAATTTTTTTGCTATCTTTTGATTTTAATAACTGATTACTCATTACTGAAAAATGTTTTCTTTTTCACTTTCACCAAGTTTAGATACCTTTTCTTGTTTTCTAAATATTCTTTCAAGGATCGATCCAAGTTTGTATTTCTGAAATGTTGCAAACTTTGTTGTTTAAAACATGAATATATATGTCTGATTAAAAAATAAATTTTTAAAAACTGGAATGGAAGCAAAAAAGTAACCAGAAAATAAATAAAAATGTGACTGTTACAACAGTGTCTTCAATTTTAACTAACATTTCTTAAGGTTGTGTTTACTTTTTTTATTGAAAATAAATTTATCAATTTAAATATAAAAAAAAATTATATTCATGTAAAATTTTAAAACTGGATTCATTAAACATTTATAAATTTAAATTTTATTTATAGTTACACCTTCAGAACCACCTGAAAGACCATGGGTAACAATTAATCCTCCAACAAGAACACGGCCAGCGTGTAAGTATAATATTTAATTTAAAATATTTTTACTGTAATTGTAATTATAAAAATAATTAAAATTCTATATCATTTTATTTGTAAAATTTTAGTGGCTTTTATAACTTTGTAAAGATGAAACTAATCATTCATTTTTTTTAAAATAAATAATCATAAATGTTAATATCAATAGCACAAAATTGAATGTAATTAAAACAGGAGTACCAACAATTAAATTTTAATTTTATTCTGCTGTGTTTAGATTTTAAACATTTATTGTATTTCATTATGACTTGTATATAAAGTGCACTATCCATTTCTGGAGAAATCAGCCTCTTTTCTTTGTTTTATTATAATAAAAACTCAAAATAATTACAAAACAAATCATTCATTCTCAGTTCCCAGCAAGACAAAAAATCTCTCTAAGACTCTTCCAACTATGTTTGCCCATTGCTTTTTCTCTTGTTAACCCAACAGATTTTCTAGTTTCATTACTCTGACATCTGTAATTGTTTTCTGGATGCTAAGAGACAGTAGAGGCTTTTCTTTTCTTGTGGTATACACTCAATTATCTCTATAATCCACTAATTATATCATTTTATATTAATAAAATTAGAAAATGTATTTTAAAATAAAATTTCTGTTAAATATACATTAGATATAGAATGCCATATGAATATAGGTTAGTTATATGAATAGGTTGCTACTTGCTATTTACTTTGGTTTCATGAAGTCAAAACAAATAGGATGTACAGTACTAACTTTGTTCAAACTGTATTTTTATTTCAGTACTTTGTTCATACAGTACTTTTAGTTGTTTTTACAATATATAAAATTTATTAATGGAAACCAAGACTAGGAAGTAGTTTTGGTTTCCATTACTAGAAAATTTTTGCATAACATAGATCAATAGCTTTAAATTGTTCAGTTAAATGAAAGGCAAATTGAAATTGTTGAAAAAACATTGGATTTGACTAATTTGCATGCTCATTTTTTAGATGTGTTATATTCAAATAATATTTTAGAAAATAGGTGTATCTTTTTACAAGTGCATTATGAATTTAATTAGTCTCACAATGGGGTGGTCACTAGTGAAGAATCCATTAAAAATTTTTCAGGATCTTACTTAGACTCAAATCTTCAGAGCAGTATTTGTTAATTAAGCTGTCTGGTCATATGATATGTCAATTCTATATATATATATTTTTTTTTTCATTAAATTAAGATTTTATTGTAAAGTATCATTATCAATATAGGTAATACAGGAAGGAAGTTTACTTCTAAATCAGAAGTAATCAATAACATTAATAGAATGGTTTGTAAATTAAGAGTAAAATAATCAAACGCTTTGGTAAATGAATTTAGGTTTATAAAAATAATCCATAAAATATGTTGACAATAAAAATGCATATTAAATCTTTCACAGTGATTTGTTCTAGGCTGCTCAGCTGCTGCAGTAATTGTTCAAATTCCTTAGTTTTGGATACAATCAATAGGAGTCTTATTGAATTTGTCCTCTCCTCTATTCTGCCAGAATACATTGCTATGGAATTTCAGTTTTTTTAAATTATACTTTTGCTATTATATTTTACTATCAGGGAATATTTAAATATGATTTGCATACACAATATGAATAAAACAATAAATTCGGTGTCTGAATGCAATGAGAATTCCAGTCAAGTGGATTCGATAACACTGATATAAGATGTGCACAGAACTTCTTAAACATTAGAATACTTATTGCAACAGCTGAATAGCCTTAAAATGCAACAAAAGTTTGTTCCTGTTGTCAACATTTTTATGGTTTATCTTTTACAAATATATATTTTATTTTTAAAAAATTTATATTTATGAAATTTAAATTTTTAGAAAATAAATTAATATAACTAACTATATTGAATCAGGGCTCTAGAAAAGATATGAAATATATTAAAATTATAAATCTTATGAATAAATCTTTTGAAGAAGTTGATTTCCTATTAATACATGCAATGTAGTAACAATAATAGACTTTCACTCACAAGGGAACTGTTGGAGTGTCTTCTAATAAATTTTAATAAAATCTAGTTAATTAATAACTATGTTAAAAGTATACAAACCCTATTTCAAATTTGTAGCATTCACTAAAAGTGTTAATCAGTTATTAGCAATCAAATATCATACTACTTTATAGTAGTTTAACACAATTATGCAAATTTTTAGAAGTGAAAGGGTCACGGAGGAAGACAGCAATATTACATTTAGAATAAATTCTGGAATTTTCAAAAATGGGAGAAGAATTAATAAAATTTAGTTAGTAATTATGTTAAAAGTGTTCAAACTCTATATTAAATTTGTAGTATTTACTAAAAGTATTAATCAGGATTAATAGCAANCATAAAGAACGGAACGTGTCTACCGTCTTATAGGGGGTTGACTGTATTTGATTCTGATATTATTAACTTTAAGATTTAATAAATTATTTCCAGCTAAAGTCAGAATTTTAAATTTTCTTACTTAGAAATTATTTTTAATTAAACCAGTTCTTGAATTTAATTTTTTATTATTTTTAAGAGTAAATTTAATTGTCTTTTAGGCAAATACTTTAGGCTTATGATTTTTTTTATTTAATTTTCAAGGCAAACTTTAATAACCTAATTTACTTTTCCTTTATTCCATAAATAAATAAATGTTCTCAATGTTTTAGATTAAAGATAATTAATTAGACAGATAAAAAGAAGTGGTTTATTTAATATTCATCCAGTTTATTGGTTTTTATATTTTTATTTTACATTCATCGTAAAATTTAGAGATTTGATTTATGAAATTGAAAACTCAAAAGCTGTGAAAGTAATTGTCTGAAAATAATTTAAAGTATTTTCCATTTTTCTCACAAATAAATTATTTTTAATATTATATAATAAGAGGAAGACAGCAATATTACATTTAGAATAAATTCTGGAATTTTCAAAAATGGGAGAAGAATTAATAAAATTTAGTTAGTAATTATGTTAAAAGTGTTCAAACTCTATATTAAATTTGTAGTATTTACTAAAAGTATTAATCAGGATTAATAGCAACTAAATGTTGTACTATTAACACAAATATGAAAATTTTTAGTAGTGAAATGGTTGCAGAGGAAGACGGCGATACAGTAATACCTCGATTTTTGTTGACTTTGGTTTTTGTCGATGTTTTTGCAAAAAATTTGTCTTGGATTTTGTCGCCATGCCACATGATCTTGTTGCTAATTTTGCGAAAACAAAGAGCAGCCCACGCATTTTTCTGCTCACAAGTCATCGTGGCATTGTTTCTTGCTGTATGGGCATTACTCCACGCGTCTAGCAAAACAATTCCATTGTTTCCCTTCCTTTTAGTTCCATTGTGGGATCAAAGAAAGTTTCCAGAGCCAGCAGCTCTTCGAAGAAGACCAGGAACACAATCGAATTGAAGGAAATCATTAAAAAATACAAGAGTGGCATTAAGATTGCTGAAATCAACCCCATGTACTATACTGTATGGAAAGTCGACATTCACGATAAGTTTTGTTGTGGTGAAGAAGGAAGCAAAATGGAGGCTAATGTAGCAAAAGGTGTAAATGTGCTAACAAAACAGAGACCGCAAACAATTGAAGATGCCAAACAATTATTATTAATTTCGATCAACCAAAAACAGTTAGATGGCGATTCTGTTTCAGAGACCATCATATTAGTTTTTTATACTCATTTTATATTAATTTCTTAATATTTTTAGTATTAAACACTATGAAAACTAATTTATCACTGTATTACATTTACAGAGTAGAATAAGGAATAAGCTCAAATAAATGTTATAAAAGATTATATATATATATATATACACTTCTTTAACAAGGAAATATAATATAAAAGTAATAATAGAATAAATATAAAGAAAACAATCGAAACGTAATAAGTAAATACATTTTAATAGATACATTTAAAAGTTATTATATTCACAAATTATTAGATGGACAACTATTTACATGATATTTTTCAACAAAGCAAAATAAACAAAGAACCTGTTGGCATCAAGCACATTTAACAAATCGAAGATTTTGGCAATTACTCTCAACACAATTTAAACTGTCAGTGTTTAAAAAAGAAAAACAAACTTGTTTTACATTTAAGAATTGACACTTTTCATTTATGAGTCCAGAAGCAAACCATGCATGTTTAATCAAATTATTAAATATTGGCGCAGATAATTGATGATAAAGAATCGAATGTAATTTTATAATGCCGTTTCTAGTTGTCCAAAACAATTTCATCGAAGAATCATTACAGAATAATTGTATAGCATTTAAAATTTCTTTAGCTAAAAGTTTTAATTGTCTATGAAATCCAACATCTAAAGGTTGGCATATAGATGTATACTTTGGTGGAATAATTAATATTTTGCATGAATTTTGATTTGTAGATGTTTGAAATACTGTATTATAAATATTAATATTTGTTTGTCTACTCCACGAGTCAATTATTAATAAAGAGTTTTTTGTTAATATTTGGAGATAATACATCTTTTACATAGTTTGTAATAATTGCTGTAGATTATTTGCCAGATGAACTAGCTGTAACAGTTACGTTTGGGGCATTGAACAGCAATGTTTGAACTCTAGGTCCAAAGGTTCCATGAGCCTCTTGTAAGCAAATAAATACATTACCTACAACTTGTCCGTTAGCATTAATTAAATATTGAACTGTGTAGGAATGCATAACTTTATTATTTGGAGAATGTGCAAATCCAATAGTATTTTTTTTTCTCCTTTATATGAAAGTGTTCTCGGTGAAATCATTTCGTATGAAAAATCACATTGATCCGTATTGAATATGAAGTTACACGAATAAGATGGCAATAAATTTTTTACTGTTGTTTGAAATTGCGCAGCTTTTACTAAAATATCCTTTTCGTTCACTATTTCTGTTTTATTTACAAGTTTTGTAATCTTTCGAGATACTAATCTATATTCTTTTTTAAATTTTGCAATCCATGAATCACTAGCTGTAAACTTAATTGAACTATTC